GGTTTCAAACGTCGTGCTACCGCCGTGCCGAACTCAGTTCATGAATTATAAATACATTAGACTACACTTAAAAGTTTGCCAAATCGTTTCTTTATCTTTTTGTTTTGTTTTCGGCAACAGCCGTTCTGTTCGACCGGATTTAATTCGACGTCTGAAACCAAGTCGTGCTAGTGTCGTTCTGCAGTCGAGCCACAGTCGAGCCATCTTAGCACGTTAGTAGCACGACGTTTGAAACAGGCCTTAGCCAAATTCAGCCATACGGAAATGGCCACCAAATTAAGTGAAAATACATTTAGAGCCTGTTTACATGACGGTGGAGAACCCCAGGCAGGTGAGGTAACCTGCTTAGGTGGGGTAACCCGCCTGTCCATGTGATCTTTCATTCTAATTTGATCACGTTTGAGTGATATGTGGGGTGACCCGCCCAGGCGGGTTGCCTGGTCTGCCAGATGGGTTACACTGTCATCCTGTGTCAGACTCGTGTTATGTAAAATTCGTGCCAACTGCCTTTGGCGGAGGTGTTCATCATTAAAAGTGACAACAGAAAGCCATAGAACTGTAAGGCTGCAGCCAGAGCAGCAAGTGAGAGAACAAGAGCATTAACCGCCATAGCACGTCGTTTGCCAGCCATTTTTTTTGTTTAAGTGCATAGCGGCCGTTCAATAATCTTGAGAAAGCGCACCCCGGGATGGCGTTGTTGTTGCATGAAAACGGGTGTTTTTTTTTTCTTTTGTTACCCCTACTTGAGCAGGTTACCTCGCCTACATGGGAATCCCCACCTCCATGTTAACAGGCCCTTAATGAATACAAAAGATACAGATATACAAGGTTGAAAAGTATTGAAAGAGATTGCAGTTTAGGCTTTCGGAAACTATTAAACACGTCTTTTTGTCAAAGGTTATCACTGCTCTGCGGTTAGCTTAAAGACATGTGCAATTGTCAAAGTTTAAATCTCTTATATCTCTTTAAAGGAAATCTCAAAACATTTTTATTTAATCAATTTTAATTAAATTTGTATATTTCATACATTTGTAAAGCGCGCTGAGATTATGTAGCTGCTCTCTAGAAGAACTTCACTATAATTAGTCTTATTATATCATTATCATTGCAGTTTGCAACTTAAAATAAAAACGCTCTGGAGGCATATATTAGTCATACAGCCGTGATTTTAGAATTAATGTCTTTACTTTTGTTAAGTTTCAAGTAAGAAATTAGGAAACCAGTCCCTTCTAGCAGACAAATAAACCAGAGATTTTTTTACGGTTCTTTTTTTTTTTTTGCAGATCTGTTCGTTACATTCCATTCCCAGGCCGTCACGACCTTCTGTTATACGCGCGTTTGGCGGGAAAACCAGTAGTCATGGCACCCACGACCTACGAAGGCGTTGTATCTGTGGACGCGACGGGCCGAGTAAGACAGTGGGAGACTGGTGTGTCGAATCTCGTACGTTCATTGGAGAAGTGGAAGGGACTAATTGGCGAAGACTATCATGGGCCCTTACAAGTATGTTCCTGGAGATTTTCAGTCGCCATTTTAAACCTGAGAGGGCTCGAAACAAAGCTTTTTAAATCTAAATGCAAAGAAAATTGTTTTTGTGTGGAGATGGAAAGATATTAGTACTTTTATATCAACAGGGTAGATATCTTCGGCCATGCTTATATTACTGGGGGCCTTTCTACATTAAAGTAATAGTAATATGACTAGCTAAACTGATTTAATGCTGGAGGCCGGATTTTTGCGGCCAATGACGTGTTTTCACACCAACATTTATACCTCACACTCTTTTCAACGAATTTTGTACGCGTCGGGGTGGGAAGCAAGTGTATGGCAGCGATGAGAGCCGTCTCAACTTACCTGACTATGGCCCGGATTCGTATCCGGGAAGCAATGCCATATGTGGATTGACTTTGTTTTTTGTGGGCCAACAAATCACATTTACATTGTTTTTTCTTCTTTTTCCTGTCTCTAAGGTAAATTACTCCAGGGAAAGCGGGGAAGACGTCACCAGTCCAAAGCATGGCAAGGTAAGATATCTGTTATGTAAGACGAGGAAGACTACAAGAACGAGATTTTCTCAATACTAAGTGGTGCGCGCTCGTAAACCAGCGTCATTTTGGCGGGAAACGCAAAAGCCGTCGTCATTCTGCTGGGTGTTAGCGAAAATGCCGTAGTGACGAAAACAAGCTATCTATAGTGTCAGAAGATTTATCATTTTGTGACCGGGAGAGGGGTTAATCTCCTTCACTAAAAATAACCATGTAAACTTTTTTGGTGGTAATACGCGCCAGAAAACTTTGTCTCAAAGCTCTTCCGCATACTCGTTCTCGTCCTTGAATCTTAAGGTCGCTATTGTCTTTGCTAAATCCCCCTGTTATGTTTCAGGTGGACCCAAATAACGCCCCACACGTCGGAGGGAACACTTGGGCCGGGGGTACCGGGGGCCGAGATACCGCCGGGCTGGGAGGAAAAGGCGGACCGTATCGTCTGGACGCGGGGCATGATGTACATCAGTTATCGGATGAAGAAAAGGACGCGGTGCCTGATGACGTCAAACGAGCCGCTCGCGAAATGGGACGGCGTGCATTTAAGCAGAGGTTAGAAACTACTTATGGTTTAACACCACATTTTGTAATCCTTTAATACTTGTAAAATGTATTCAGCATATAGTGATGAGCTAGCTGGTATGCTTTTATACTGGTGTGCCTTTTATGAAGCATAGGAATAGTCAGGATCAAATGTTGCGGATAGGTGGAAAAACGTGATTGATACCCTTATCCTCCCCAACTTCCTGGGTCACGCTTTACCAACTGATTGGTACTGCATGAAACCCTTAACCATCGTCCCACAAGGAATTAAGACCATGCACCTGGCACCCAACTCGATAGTGTGTTAAGATCAATTGCTTTGTAAAAGAACGTGTAAAAGTCTTTTTAACGTAAACGTGTGGACTTTTCTAACGCCGTCTCTGCAAGAGCATAAAATGCAGAAGTTTGTATGCGTTTAAAAAACTTACTGGTGTGATTAAGGGTGGAGTTCCGCTGTCGCGTAATTTTCACGTGCGTAAATATAAAATATGAAAGGTGGCGCTTGAACGCAAGAGTTGAAGCTTGCTTAACTGGTGAAGAGTAATTCCGCCCAATCTTTTGTTTGACGTTAATTATATCTGACGTTAGGTTGCGTGAAATCCAGATGAGCGAGTACGATGCTGAAATGTACGAGTCTTTCTCGTCACGTGTGCGGCGCCAGGTCCAGTCCCTACGCGTCATACTTGACAGTTTACAAGCGCGGGGAAAGGAACGAGTGTGGCTTCGAAACCAGACCTCAGGAGAGCTAGATGATGGGAAGTTGATTGAGGGATTGACAGGAGAAAGAGCGATTTACAAGAAACGAGGAGAAGAGGATCCAGAGGTATCGTATTTTAGTCTTTTCGTCGACTAGGTTTAGGCTTAACTTGCTTCGTTGTTTTTTTTTGTGCTATGATAGATCATGTGATAGTCCCAAGGGGACAGTTTCTTTCAAAACAGGTCACATCTTGATCGCACGTGTCTTAGGGCCTGTTTACATGGAGTGGGGGACCCCGGTCTAGTGGGGTTGGTTTCTTTTGTTTTCACGCTCTGGGGGACACAAAACAAAAGAAACTTGCCCCACTAGACCGGGGTCCCCCACTCCATCTAAACAGGGTCTTAATTTCCAAGAAAAGAAGGATCAATTTCCTGAAAATGTCATGTGATTGGCGTATAAGGCGAATAATACCTATAGCATTAAAGTGTTGTATACACGTTCTTTATGCTGTGGCGGATCCAGCGGAGGGGACCGGGGGGCCCGCCTTCCTTATTTTTAGACCAAACTGAGGCCCGAAGGGCCGAAAAAAAAAAAGTGGGACCGCCCCCCACCCCTTAGGTCTGGATCCCGCCACTGTTATGGACTATGTTACACTGTTGTTATCTTTTAAAAATGCTAAAACGTGTCTTCGCGTCAATTGACTTCCAAAAAAGGTACTGTTTTGTTATTTCAGACTATAATTATTAGGTTTTGAAATTATTTTCTGTCGTCTGTTGCTCTGGGATGGTAAGGAAGGACACGTATTGAAATTTGTAAAACGTTGGGCTAACTTTTTCAAGTTCTAGTGCTATGGCTACAAAAATAGTTTAGTAAGGTTTAATCTCAAAATCATCGTAAATTAATGAATGACAATGTTGTTACAAGAATTCTAAAAACTAGGATCACAAGCAATTCGTATAAAAACAGGGACTGGGTTACAATAATGATGATAATATAGAATAACAAACAATTCCAAAACGATTTCTAACATATAAAGAAATAAAATTGTCATACATGCAACTATATGATCTATGCGGGCTAACGATTATTTAAAGGTAAGATTGTACTTGGAAAGAAACTACGAAGAAGTCTTTCAGTCCTGCATTTGGGCATCGTAATATAGTTGTCTGCATTTCTCGTATAATGGTGATGCACACAAACCCTCGTCTTAGGAAGATGTTTAGAGAGTGGCCCTCCTTTTGAGAATCACCAAAAAAGAATTGTCGTGTTACTGCTCCCTGATAAAATTTGTTTGTCATCTTCTTCATTACTCTGCAGGAGCGTTTTTGTACGGGTAAAGGTGCTAAGTGATGAATTCAGCACAGAAATAAACAGCAATATACCCCCATAATATCCCCTTTAACTCCAGATTTGTTTTAAAGTGCAGGTTCTTTTACACTTACGGTCTCATGTTTGTTTTTCGTCCCCAAATATATAACAAATTGGAGCTGGTATCAAACAGTAGGAGAGTCAGTAATCTTTTATGTCTCATCATATGAATGACAATTTTCTATTTTCAAGTTTATGTTCGTTTTATTTTAGCTTGGAACTCCTCAGCGTCTCCCTAAGCGCCTGCGATTTGTGGTTGATGTCAGCGGCAGCATGTATCGGTTTAACAGCTTAGATGGCAGACTGGGGCGAATGATGGAGGCAGCTTGTCTTGTGATGGAAGCATTTCATCAGTTTGACAACAAAATTAAGGTGCCTATGTGTTTTCCTTATATCAGCCATCAGTATTGTGTATGCCTTTTTCGATGTGTCAGCACTTTCGAAACGTTAATACATTTTAATTATCGTCCACGTCATCACCATAATCATCATCATCGTCATCGTCATCATTATCATTATTATCATCATCGTCAACATCATCATCATCTTCATGAAAATAATTAAAACACCAAATTTCTTTACCTTTTTTGGTTTGCATGTTTTATTTATATGCAAATTTTCCTACCATATGTCATCTGTTGATTCTTTTACTAGTTACTTACTCTACGTTTAAATTTCTGTTTTTATTCAACGGTTAATTACTTCTGAAATTGTATGATGTTGGAACATACGAAACGTCAAGTTAAACNTTAAAGTGCAGGTTCTTTTACACTTACGGTCTCATGTTTGTTTTTCGTCCCCAAATATATAACAAATTGGAGCTGGTATCAAACAGTAGGAGAGTCAGTAATCTTTTATGTCTCATCATATGAATGACAATTTTCTATTTTCAAGTTTATGTTCGTTTTATTTTAGCTTGGAACTCCTCAGCGTCTCCCTAAGCGCCTGCGATTTGTGGTTGATGTCAGCGGCAGCATGTATCGGTTTAACAGCTTAGATGGCAGACTGGGGCGAATGATGGAGGCAGCTTGTCTTGTGATGGAAGCATTTCATCAGTTTGACAACAAAATTAAGGTGCCTATGTGTTTTCCTTATATCAGCCATCAGTATTGTGTATGCCTTTTTCGATGTGTCAGCACTTTCGAAACGTTAATACATTTTAATTATCGTCCACGTCATCACCATAATCATCATCATCGTCATCGTCATCATTATCATTATTATCATCATCGTCAACATCATCATCATCTTCATGAAAATAATTAAAACACCAAATTTCTTTACCTTTTTTGGTTTGCATGTTTTATTTATATGCAAATTTTCCTACCATATGTCATCTGTTGATTCTTTTACTAGTTACTTACTCTACGTTTAAATTTCTGTTTTTATTCAACGGTTAATTACTTCTGAAATTGTATGATGTTGGAACATACGAAACGTCAAGTTAAACTTTTCTTTCCGCTTCAAAAATGTGTTTATATTTCCTTGTGTTTATCACCGCAGTTTGCTTTTTGTTTCTTTTTCCAATATTTCGCAAAAAAATAAAAAGCTGTTGGTGATACAGGAAGAGTATGTGGTTTTTCAGTCTTTCTCCTTTTCTCATTTGACGGTTATCGGTCCAACTGAAAACCCTCCAAATATTCACTTTTACTCGAGATTGTTTTTTCCTCTCAGTATGATATCGTTGGCCACTCGGGTGATTCTCCCGAAATTCCGTTTGTCTCCCATGATGCACCTCCAAAGAACAACAAGGAGCGCCTTGACATCATGAAACAGATGCACGCACATGCGCAGTACTGCTGGAGTGGCGATCTTACGTTGGAAGCGACGGATTTAGCAATTTCCCGGATCACCGAGCAGGAAGCAGACGACTATTTTGTCGTTGTGCTCAGCGATGCAAATCTGGAACGGTATGGCATACCCGCAGAGGCTTTTGGGAAGGCGCTGACGTCAGATGCACGAGTAAATGCCTTCGCCATTTTCATTGGCTCGCTTGGTAACCAGGCAGACAGGTAAGCATTGTTGAAAGGACTTCTGAAGAATCTTTAACAGTCGTTTTAACTATTAAGTGTTCGTCACACATTCATTCAGTTAAATTCTCACCTCTGTTTCAGGTTAGTAAAAAAGCTGCCTTCAGGGAGAGCGTTTGTCTGCATGGACACTAAACATCTTCCGCAAGTCCTACAACAGATCTTTACTGCGGCCATGCTCAATTCAAGATGACCATCTAAACTATTTATTTTCATAAGAAAGCGGATTACAAAGCCTGATGGCACTGAACCAAGTGGTCATAACACATGTATTGTATTACTGNTCAGGTTAGTAAAAAAGCTGCCTTCAGGGAGAGCGTTTGTCTGCATGGACACTAAACATCTTCCGCAAGTCCTACAACAGATCTTTACTGCGGCCATGCTCAATTCAAGATGACCATCTAAACTATTTATTGTCATAAGAAAGCGGATTACAAAGCCTGATGGCACTGAACCAAGTGGTCATAACACATGTATTGTATTACTGGAAGACCACTGAATAGAATGGCACTATCGGCCAAAGCGAAAAATACCATAATATTCGAAAGATTCCTGTTTCGGTGGAGCTTCATGTAGACAAGTGATTTTTGCAAGGTCGTTTGTTCTGTACACGATTTGCACTTGCAGTGCCTCAGCTTCTCTTAAATTTCCATGCCCTGCAGGCGCAGTTCATACAAGGAACTACACATAATTCAAAAGTCAGGTTTTGCACGAAGCACCATCCAAACGGCAGCTTCCCGAGTAGACCTTATTCAGGATACCCTCCATCTTTGTACGCGATTTAGGGTTGATGGGAGAAATGCAATGTCACGTGATATTTCAGCGGGCAAACAAGGGATAAAAGATGCCAATACGAGTAAGTGCGGTCGAGTTTGTTGATTCTCTCAAAACAAGACGACTGTTTTAGTCATGCAAAATGTACAGTTCGAGTTTCGACAATTTTTCCATCATTATTGCTTGCTGTGCGAACGTCTACAGTCGCTACTGCATTCAGTAGAGTAACACGTATCGCTTCAACACATAATTTGGTATTATCGTCCTTACAAGAAAAAGTTCTTCATTTTCTGTTGTCTAGAATAAACAAACTCGTCCGCGATTTCTTTTATCGGCAGATTTTAGTGCTTGTTTGCCCTGTGAGAAACAACGAGGCATCGCTTTTTTCCTGTCGTCTTTAAGAGCGTGCAAATATAGCGGGTAACTTGAATAAGGTACATTTATATATATCTTTTTTTTACCGCTTTGAGCAATTGTCGGCTTACAGCTGACGTCATGTTGGACGCTTTCTTATTGTTGGTTGACAAGAGCAAAAGTAGCCTGTTCCAGGCTCCAAAAAAGCGGCTTGAGAAAATTTTGCGCGAAAACCGCGTGGGGGTTGGGAAGAGACGAGGAAGGTGGAGCGTGTGAACATCATTGTTGTCAATGCCTCATTCCGGTTACCAGCTCCTGGTATACCCCGTGATTGGTCAATTTTCACAGTTTACGTCAACTTTTATGTCAATAACTTGGCTTCGCGCGCAGAGTCAAACAAACGTGGCGAGCGTGTGAAAACCTATGGTCGTTCTGTCATGTCAGTGGTTGTAAACCAAGAATAGTCAATTCCGTGATAATTGCGGATTTAATGAAGTTACTAAAACCTATGATATTTGGTTATAGTACAACAAATTCCTGTAAAATAGAATATTCTTACTTTTTAGCGTCTATCTTGTGATGTGTTTCTCTACCCGACACAATTTATCGTCCAACCTATTTGTTCTTGCCCTTATTTCATTTTCGGTGTAAAAACTACTCACGGTTGACCTAAAACAAAGTAGTCTACATTACAGAACTTAGGAAAACAAAAGGTGCAGTGCTGAAAACAAAGAAAACGTTCACAGGTTCAAGTGTTACACCGTGATAAACCCACCGCAATGACCCTAATACTACTAATAGTTGACACTACAGCTGCCCCCGCTCTGTCTATTGTCGGTCAATAGTATTCTTGCTCGTTGTGTAGCTCTTTGAAATATACCGATTCATAAGGAAGATTTTCACACATATTCCATACAATAGGTGAGGTAAATACAGGAAACGCGAGGTTCCATGCACAGTTTCAGTTCGATTTACTCAGCTTTGATCAAAACATTCTCAGTTTCGAGAACAGTTTATTCTAAACCATAAAACCACTAAACCACTTTTTACATTCAGTTCATTTTATTTGCCGGAAAGTAAGCCTTAGAAATTAAAAGGACGTTTGATCAATTCACGCTCGCGCATTCTAGTCTCATTTTAAACTTTATAGCGGAAGGACATCATTCTGCTAGTGATAAGTTAGCCGTTGTTCACTCGTCTTGCTTGTTTGGGGCTGAGTCTTATTCCGGTCAAAGAGAGAGAAAGAGTGTCTGGCAAGGTTTCCAATCTCGTGTCTTGCAAACTCTCCTAGTGTTTATATATACACAGTTATACGAACCTTATAACTTCGTCTGTGCTTAACGAGTGTCTTTTGGTCCATAACTTTCAAAACATTTGCTCCACAGAATGTCACTGACAACACGTTCACAATTAATGTCACAAAATCTACCTAAGTGGTCCCTTCGGGATTTTCTGTCTTTATGTCATCCTAACCATTTCGTACTTGCGGGCGCAAACAATAGAAACGTCATCATTACCTACCGATTTCCCGCGGCCCCTCTTCAAACAAATCGAGATTTTTTCTGGCATACTGACTGTATATTTCAACTGTAAGTACTTTCCTTAATATACGCGCCAGTTACTAGAGTGCCTCCTCTTAGCCTCACCGAGAATCCCGCTCCTCGGTCTTTCTTTGTTCCGAAACCAAACGGAAACGCTTGACAGGCTAGCCTCCTCGGGATTTCGCCTTCTGGGCGAAATCCCTGCGGGGGCAGTGACGACAAGTTCGTCGCGTCAAGGAGATGAGCGAGGAGAAACGTCTGCCGTTCGCAGGCTAGTCAAGTTGACAATCCAGGCGCTCGTTGGACTAGACAACTTTTTCGGCCCCTCGAGTTAGCGTGCGAGTAAGATCTCCCTTTGGAGGGGTCGCGAGAAGTCACGCGTGAGCGGCAGGCGAAAGGAGACGCGAGAGTGAGAGGCACGAAAAGAAGGTCTTCCGCCCCTCGCTCATTCGTTCTCTTGCCCCTCGGTCTCCGAAGATGTATATTGATAAACGAATAGTCAAACAGCTTGTGTGAGCCCCCATGACAAAGGGACTCGAGAGGTCTGGGTCGGTCGGGAGGGGTCGGGGTCGGGGTCGAGACATCCTCGCTCCTCGCTCCTAGGGTCTAGGGCCAAGTTGATCAAAGAATCTCTCTGCCTAGGAGGTCGAGATTGATCGCACAGTCTTTAATTTATCGGCACTTCTCAACCCAGGGAACGAAGGAAGATGCGTGTAAATCTCTGTCGATCATTACGGGCCGCTGGTGTAATGACCAGCAAGATAGCGGAAGGTTATCAACAAAATTCAAAATGGCAAAGAAACGGTGGAAAGCGATTTGTTGAGAACGAAGTCGTACCATATCTTGGCAACGATATCTTGGATTTAGGCTGTGGTACTGGCGAGCTGTCCGCATACCTTGCCGAACTTGTAGGGCCGAAAGGTAGAGTTTTAGCAGTCGACCCTGACAAAGAGCGCATTCGAGTGGCTCAAGAATCGCACAAAGAAGTAGAAAACCTCACATTTGCTCCTGGAAGCACCTTGAGCTTTCCAGGCCTGGGTTTGGAGACTTACAATGTTATCTTCTCAAATTTTGTTCTTCACTGGATAAAGAACATTGAGGATAAGAAAAATGCCTTCCAAAACATGTTTAGGAGCTTGAAGCCGACGGGGAAAATTTTTATGCGATATAGTGGTCGGTTGCCTACTCACTTTGACGGTGTCTTTCGCGAGCTCAACCCAGAAAATATGGATCGTTTACTAAACCTGTTCGAACATGAAACAAGACCAGTCATTGAAAAATTGTGTGAGGCCAATGGATTCCGCGTTCTGAAAAGTTTTGACGAGAAGCACGATGATCTCGCGTTTGAAAATGGCGAAGCTCTGTGTTTATTTTTCTGGGCGACTACAAACGGTGTATTCGATCCACAGCTGGTTACTGAAGAACGACTTGAAAAGTTTTGCGCTCGGTTTTCAAGTGGAGAAACTGGCGGGATTAAGTTGCGTTCGGAAGAGACCGATTTATGCAGTGTTTTAGTGGCTGAGAAACCAGCAGAGTATAAATAGGACGGCGAAATGTTTGTGTGACAAACGTGACAGCGCTCGAACCTGCGAATTTTGTCCTGATCATGATTGTCGCGCAAGGTTGCTGTCGTTCCCTTTGCTTAAAGGGGTTATGTCACGCTATTTGCTATCTTTTTAAAAAGCTAAAACTGCATCAATTGACTTCCAAAAATAACGGCCCAGCTTTGTTCTTAAAGACTATATTTAAGCACTGAAACTGTTTTCTGTTGTCCGTTGCAAAGGATGGCAAAGATGGACATGGACATGGATTGAGGCTTGAAAAAGTTGAGTTTTAATGCTATGCCTGAAAAAAATCACCAAAAAATAATTGTTGTTAGTGTGATGAAATTTGTTTGGTATCTTCTTCAGTGCTGGATCCAGGGGGGCCCCGGTCATCCGGAAAGGAGGGGGCAGTCTCCAAGAAAATTTTTTTGGGTCCTTTGGGCCTCAGTTTGGTCTAAAAATAAGGGAGGGCAGGCCCCCCTGGGTCCCTCCCCAGGATCTGCCATTGTTCTTCAACTAACTACAGGAACATTTTTTGTACTGCACTATTTGATGAGCATTGACCCAAAGCTGGAGATAGAAATAAGTCAAATATGAGCCTAATTAATTTTTTTCAGGTCCCAATTTAACCAGAAGAAGGGTTGTAAAGACTGCTAACAGCCCCTCAGGGTGATCACAGCTAGCTTGCATGGTTGGGCATGGTGCCCGCATGCCACAAACAATGCAAATGCGTGATGAAGGGGGAAGGCAAGCCAAGCCTATTATTAAATGTGTATAGGGAAGCATAGTTACCATTATTTCTGTTTATATTATATTTTTTTCTTTAATTGTCTTTTTTGATAGAATTTTAGTTTGAGGCCCATTTATAGGGTGGCCCATAGGGTAGCTCATATAGTGTCCCACAGATGGCTTGTGGGATAGCCCATGGGCCCTGGCCCAGGTTTTGTTTCCACGCCACGTGGCGTGCACGTTATATTTTGCTGATCAAAATAGAGTAAAATCAGTACATTTTACAAGTCAAGACTTCACAGGAAGTATTTTGTAAAGAGTGAAATCTGTAAAATAACATCGAAATGCAAAAAAAAACTTTACACAACTTGCCCTACTTTGTTGTTTACAATCTTATTTACCATCCTTTTGCTTTCATTTTGGGCGGAGCCTGCCCTTATAGGCCATTATGGGGAGTAACCCATTCACCCCGGAGGTTTAAGGTACTAGAGCCTCCATGGTTAAGTAGCTGGTTGTCAAACTTTCATTGATTAATTACACTTGGCATGTTCATCCGTGCAGGTTTGCTCGGTGACCAACAGGAAGTGTAATTAAGTCAGTAGGAAGTGTTTTCTTAACTGCCATGGTCAAGCAATCTTTTTTAATGTAATATGATTTACACTCTAAGGGTAAAAGTAGCTTTCACTCTCATCTGATGAATATTTCAGAATATTTTAACTTTCCTGACTTTCGAATCAATCCAAATTTGTTATAATATATCACTTATTCACAAAACCCCCTTCAACATTCTCAAAAAGGCTAGAATTTTATAGATATTTTAAAAACGACCATACCACTTCTAATTGCCTAGACTCCTATTGGAGGAACAGCTGAGAGAAGGACAATAGCCTGAATTTACGAATAAGTAACCACAAACTTGATGGAACTAGGTACCTACAGTCAAATAGAATCAAACTACTGATCAAACTGTACTGAAGGTAATAGACATTGCCCTTTTTGTAGGTCCGGCCAATCAAATAGAAGTCAAAGTTCATTTTTGTTTCATTGTCCCAAATACACTATGTGAGGAATAATTTTTACAATAAAGTTTAGACTCTATTCAAAATATCACGCAGTAACCCGTAAACGATTTGCTCAGTGAACCGATTAACTTTTATTACTATATCAATATACCGTTCAAATAAATATACCGGAAAATTCCGAAAATAAGGCCCTCCATGTATAAGCCCCCCAAACCGGTAACGCAAAAAACCTCCACTAAATCGCCCCTCCAAATATAACCTCCCCGGGGGCTTATACTTGGAAAATTGCCCTCAAATACAAAGAAAAACAAAGCAAAAAAGGTAAATTTACCTTCAACTATATATAAGGCTAGCCCAATCAATTTTGAAGCGCAAATTTCCCTCCGTACATAAGCCCCTCTAAAAATAACCCCCACAAAAAGGGCCTTTAAAAAATTTAACCCCGGCGCTTACTTTCGGAATTTTACGGTATTTCAGCTTCCTTTGATTTTCGCGACAAATATATTTGACAGAGAAACTGAAATTTTAGTACTCCGGCTTGATTTCCTAAAATAGCTTTTACAATACTGTGTACATGTATGGTCATGCAAAGTTATTATTGCTGTTTTTGTTGTCCTCTTCTGGTTTTTGGACCATCTTTTTTATAGCCTGAGTATCAGGCCTTCCTAAGGGGCTAGGGGAGGGGAGATTTTAGATGGGGGAGGGGGTAAAAGAGAAAGGAAGGCCTGACACAAAACCCATTCAGCAAATCGTGTGACACATCCAAAATCTGGATGTGGCAGTGATTGGATAACACACAATACCCCCTGACGTCACCAGCCGCTGGTAAATACGAGCAGGGCGATCGGCAAGGAGAAACCATTGAAATTTTTCATAGTTGGTTTGATTTCATGTGTTACTTTAATGGACAGAGACTCAGAGAGAAATTCAAAAAAAGCTCTAGAAGGCGCTCTCAAGTTCTTTCCTGGAATAAAAATAAAACCCGAGCAAGAATTGTGAGAATTGTATTTTCAAAGCCCCGTAGTTAAAAGGAAAGATGTTCTGGGAGTATGGAAAAGCCTCTGCCGAAACTATGTCCGAGTATTGGTTTCGCAAGACCGGGACAAAAAAGACGATATTAGTGCTTCAGATATCTAAGTTCTGATTTACAACATCCTGCCGTTAAAAGGGTATTGTTACTGTAAATAAAATTAGAGCGAGGTAGCCATGTATTGAGAATAGCCGACAGCACCAAGGCTTTAGCTTGACTTTGCTTGTGGCGGTTACAATAGCGTACGTGACTGGAATTCGTTCGCTTCCTCTTCCAAAATTTTTTTCACTTTTGCAATGTCTTGAGTTCGAGCGGGCGTCATCTTATTTCGCCAACAGGAAGGTAAATCGTAGCAACACACGCACCGGAGCTCGGCCAGACCGTAAGGCGAGATTTATTTTAGGCGAGCTTTTTGACACGTGAAGCTGACAACCCAATGACCGGAAGTGATTTTGATTGGATGGTATCGAATCATGCTGTGTGGGGTTAGAAGGCTCCAGTAAAAGCATGTGTGTCATTAGCCTGCGTAGCAAGCGTTTCCTCGCGAGGTTCGTCTAGAAAGCTGCGGCAAGAGCAAAAAAAAAATAAATGACGGGGGAGGGGGAGGGGAAAGAAGGAACCGCTTGCCCGCAAACCCCACTATTTTGAAAAACTGCGTTCGCCCACGAACGCAGCCTCTGATTGGCGCGGTGCGGGTAGTGTTGATTACTTGGCATCCGAAACATCAATCAAACCAGGTATGCTTTGTTTTCGTGCGTCACAGATCTGGTCTCATCTGATTTGTGGTCGCAGATTACAAATGCTTTGGACTGATATTTATTGGAATCGTGTTTGTGCGAAGGTTTATGAGATCAGAGCCTTCAAAGTATAATTGGAGATCGAGCATTGGAGACTAGGGAAAGCCAATTTATTGAGAATGACGGCGTGCGGATCTGACTGGGAAAAATGGACTGTTTGTTGGAGATAACATCAACATAAATCAGAACATCTGTACTCGACATTAGCTGAAGCCGCCATGGACAAGCGATTCGTCAGCTTTTTGAAATGAAAAGATTCTTTTTGTTTATTGGAAATTTAGCGGCATCTATTGTAGAGAACGTTTCGACACAGGCTGAAGAGCAGCCGCTCTGCAAAACTTATACCCGGTGGAGTGAATTGTTCCGGACAAATCATTTTTGACTTGTCGACAAGGTTTCAGACGAGATAAAGCCACAAGAAATTCCGCAGCAATCGCTCATGGTTTTAACTTTCTTTTATCGTAAATCTTTTTCATTACAGTTCTTGCAATCGCCTGCAACGTGTTCTATTAGAGAACAAAGTAATTTTACAAATCTGGTAATCCAGGGGTAATCTGTTCGTTATGTTTCTATTTTGACGAGCTGTCAATTTACAAATGAACCGAACCGTGAAATATCAAGGGGCGTTTTCCAGAATCGTGGGGTTTGCGGGCAAGCGTTTGCTCTTCTCCCCTCCCCGTCCCCCTCCCCCTTCAACCTTTTTTTTTGCTTCCGCTCTAACTTTCGCGCAATAACTCGATTGGAAACGCTTGCTACGCAGGCTAGTGTGTCATGCGTTTCTCTCCTTCAGCTCTCTCCCTTTTTCGCTTCCATTTTCCCCTTTTTCCCACTGAGACGCCAGATACTCAGGCTATCTTTTCTGAAAACCTTCAGATTTTCATTTCCTGCAGACCTGAAATGAGAGGCACGCCCCCCTTGGAAATATTTTAACAGGTAGTGCTTCCCCCGGGACTAAAACAAACCATGAATCAGTCATGCATTCATTCTTATTTTGTTTCTTGCCGTGAAGCTGATTCACCTGAATCGAAGGTTTCCAACGAGGGCGACAAAAACCTCGGAGGTTATCGCCGCTTGTCGTTCATCTGTTCGTTCTCCTGTTCATGAGTGTTAACTCAATAACTTAAACCTTAAAAGATTTTCCTATATTACAAAGTACTCTTTAAGGAGCGATTTGAGTACACGGCCACTTTCATTACTGATAATAATGATGAACAAGATGGCAGAAGGTTATCAGCAAAATTCAAGATGGCAAAGAAACGGCGGAAAGCGATTTGTTCAAAACGAAGTCGCACCTTATCTTAGCAACGACATCTTGGATTTAGGCTGTGGTACTGGCGAGCTGTCTGCTTACCTTGCCGAACTTGTAGGGCCGAAAGGTAGAGTTTTAGCAGTCGACCCTGACAAAGAGCGCATTCGAGTGGCTCAAGAATCGCACAAAGAAATAGAAAACCTCACGTTTGCTGAAGGAAGCACCTCCAGCTTTCCCGGCTTGGGTTTGGAGACTTACAATGTTATCTTCTCAAATTTTGTTCTTCACTGGGTAAAGAACATAGAGGAAAAGGAAAAAGCCTTCCAAAACATGTTTAGAAGCTTGAAACCGACGGGAAAAATTTTTTTGCGATATGGTGATCGGTTGCCCATTACCTTCGACCGCGTCTTTCGCGAGCTCAACCCAGAAAATATGGATCGTTTACTAAACCTGTTCGAACATGAAACAAGACCGGTCATTGAAAAATTATGTGAGGCCAATGGATTCCGCATTCTGAAAAGTTTTGACGAGAAGCACGATGATCTCGTGTTTGAAAATGGCGAAGGTCTGCGTTTGTTTTTCTGGGCGACTACAAACGGTGTATTTGATCCACAGTTGGTTACTGAAGAACGACTGGAAAAGTTTTGCGCTCGGTATTCAAGTGGAGAAAATGGCAGAATCAAGTTGCATTTTGAAGAGAACGATACGTTCAGTGTTTTAGTGGCTGAGAAACCAGCAGATTAATAATGAGCTTGCAAAAAAAGAAGCCGAAGAGGACGGCCGCTTGAAACCTGGTGTGACAAGCGTGACAATAATATTGGGATGTCTAGAATTAATAAGAAAACGAAAACCTAGAAATGCGCAGCTTTCTTTATATTCGCATTTACTCTCAACCGCTTAAAGTGCCCATCACCTAAAATTTTTTATTTTCTTATCTAAAGCTGCACCTTTCTAAAATAATTGCGATTTGCACCAAGACGATTTTTTTTAGAATTTTTTAAAAACGTTCAAATTTGCTGCCATTTTGGCATACCATTCGTCTTAGTCTTCTCTCGGAGTATGACGTCATATGACGTACTTTTTAGGAACACGTGACTTTATCGACAGGAAAAGATTAAGAGTTCTGGTAGGTTTTTTTGTTTCAGAAAAACTTTCTTCTTGTGAAGACATTGAGATTCAATCCTTACTTGTAACTGATCTTTTTTGTGTAGGTGAAGGCAAGGTAATGCGAGCTCCTTAATTTACGTCACATGACGTCATATGTGAGCCTGCTAGTTTGCGTGATCAGCGGCGCGGGTGTACCGCAAAATGTAGTCTTCAAAAACTGGTAAAACTGAATTCGCGTTTTGTTCAAATCGCAAAATTTTTTCGCAGAATTTATTTTAATAAGGTATAGTTTCAGATAAGAAAATAAAAAAATTTAGGTGATGGGCACTTTAATCCCGAACGACACATTAATTCAGGGCGTGAATGGAAATATATGAAATGACGCATAGTTTGAATTGCGGTAAAGATGTGAACGTAGAAATGATCCTCGCAGTTGAATAAATAACCCAGGCGGTCGACAAAGAACGTTAAAAATGCAGGCCTGACCGAAAAAAGGGCCGTTGATAAAATCTGGATCAGACAGGATCGGTTCAAACCCTGAACACTATCCATTACAGGGAGTAACCCATCCACCCCCGAGGTTTAAGGTAGAGCCTCCGTGGTTAAGTAGCTGGTTGTGAAACTTTCATTGATTAATTACACTTGGCATGTTTAACCGTGCAGGTTTGCTTTCACCCATTTAAGATTTTGATAACCAACAGGAAGTGCATTTAAGTAACTAGGAAATGCGTTCGTAAAACTGCCATGGTCAAGCAATCTTTTTTAATGTAGTATGATTTACACTGTAAGGGTAAAAGTAGCTTTCACTCTCATCTGCTTAAGATTTCAAAATATTCTAACTTTCCTGACTTTAGAATCAATCCAAATTTGTTATAATATATCACTTATTCGCAAAACCCCCTCCAACATTCTCAAAAAGGCAAGAATTTTTTAGATATTTCAAAAACGACTATATCCCTTCTAATTGCCTAGATTCCTACCAAGAGGAACAGCTAAGAGACGGGCAATAAACTGCAATTACGAATAAGCAACCACAAACTTGATGGAACTAGGTACATACAGTCAAACAGAATCAAACTACAGATCAAACTGTACTGAAGGTAATAGACATTGCCCGTTTTGTAGGTCCAGCCAATCAAATAGAAGTCAAAGTTCTTTTTTTTTTTCATTGTCCTAAATACTCTATGTGAGGAATAATTTTTACAATAAAGTTTAGACTCTATTCAAAATATCACGCAGTAACCCGTAAACGATTTGATCAATAAACCGATTAATTCCTCTGATTACTATATCAATATACCGTTCATTAAATATATTTCAGCCTGCTTTGACTTTCGCGACGAATATATTTGACGGGGTAACTTAATTGCACTGTGATGAAATTTTAGTGCTCCGGCTTGATTTTCTTAAAATATCAAAATAGGTTTTACAATACTGTGTACATGTATGACCATGCAAAGTTATTATTGGTTTTTTTGTTGTATATGGTCCTCTTCTGGTTTTTGGACCATCTTTTTTGAAAACCGTCAGATTTTCATTTCCTGCAGACCTGGAATGAGAGGCACGTCCCTCTTGGAAATATTTTAACAGGTAGTGCTTCCCCCGGGACTAATACAAACCATGAATCAGTCATGCATTCATTCTTAGATTTGTTTCTTGCCGTGAAGCTGATTCACTTGCCTGCAGACGTCTCCTATTTCCTTTGTTGCGCGCGGAAATAGGAGACGTCTGCACGCAGGCAACTGATTCACTTGAATCGAACGTTTCCAACGAGGGCGAAAAAAACCTCGGAGGTTCTTATCGCCGCTTGTCGTTCATCTGTTCGTTCTCCTGTTCATGAGTGTTAACTCAATAACTGACAGCTTCAAAGGTTTTCCTATATTACGAAGTATTCTTTAAGGAGCGATTTCAATTCACGGCCACTTTCATTACTGATAATAATGTCGAACAAGATGGCAGTAGGTTATCAGCAAAATTCAAGATGGCAAAAAAAAGGCGGAAAGCGATTTGTTCAAAACGAAGTCGAACCTTATCTTAGAAACGACATTTTAGATTTAGGCTGTGGTACTGGCGAGCTGTCTGCTTACCTTGCCAAACTAGCAGGGCCAAAAGGTAGAGTTTTAGCAGTCGACCCTGACAAAGAGCGCATTCGAGTCTCTAAAGAATCGATCGTACAAAGAAGTAGAAAACCTCACGTTTGCTGTAGGACGCGCCTCCAGCTTTCCAGGACTGGGTTTGGAGACTTACAATGTTATCTTCTCAAATTTCGTTCTTCACTGGATAAAGAACATTGAGGATAAGAAAAAAGCCTTCGAAAACATGTTTAGAAGCTTGAAGCCGACGGGAAAAATATTTGTGAGATATGGTGATCGAATGCCTACTCACTTTGACCGCGTCTATCGCGAGCTCAACCCGGAAAATTTGGACTGTCTGATGAGCATTAACCAGTTTGAACCAAGGCCCGTAATTGAACAGATGTGTCTGGCGGCTGGATTTCGCGTTCTGAAGAGTTTTGACGAGAAATTTGAAGATCGAGTGTTTGAAAACGGCGAGAGTCTTTGTTTGTTTTTCTGGGCGACTACAAACGGCGTATTTGATCCACAGTTTGTTACTGAAGACCGAGTTTGACTAATAGTCGCGGGTCGCGGGTCGCGGGTCGCGGGTCGCGGGTCCAAAGTCGCGGTCGCGGGTCCAAAGTCGCGGTCGCGGGTCCAATGTCGCGGTCGCGGGTCCAATGTCGCGGCAGGGGAAAATGATTTGGAGTTCGAGGTAACTGAGTGAAAACGAGTGATATGAAAAAAATATAAAGGGAAAAAAAATCGTTTTTATGCATGATACTCTACGTTAACCAATTTACAGGTTACGGATGTTAGAGTCAACAAAATAATGTCTGAAGAAAAGACCTAAAAGAAAAAGCTGGCCGACTTTTGTGTTCACCGCAAGTTCATTTTGTTTTCTTTCTATCGGGCCCAGTAATATATAAATTCAGCTTTGAATGTACTTATGCGTAGCGGTTTCTGATAAAAAATGTTACCATGAGTTACCATTGTTTTCTTCTTGTCTATTAATTGCTCACAAATGCTTAGGGGTGAATAATGTGCGATACTCTTCATACACTATAAATTATAAACGTTACAACAACTTATAAAAACCTTTTTTAAAAAAGGCTTACTCGGGCTCGAAAAGCTACGAGTCTGTCGGTAGAAGAAACGAGAACTATTTCAATTTTAACAAATGTTTTCGGCAAAAATAAAGAAAACGCTTGTTGAGAAACTTCCTGGTCGCAAAC